ATATATATATATATATATCCTTTCCTATACATCACCATAAAAACTCATCAATATTTGCATTTTGATTGATCGATACCTCGATGCCAACCAATGCACCCAGAACACCAATAGTAATCGATATTTGCATTTGTTTAAGCAAATGTTCGCATAAATTCATTTTTGTTCTACTGTTTCAAAAACACCTAATTTAGTTACGTGACAAGATAATCCCAAGCGTGCCGCTGTGAATCCCACTAATGGACTTAATATAGAATTTACGGCTACATTGATGGCTAAATGTCTGAGAACGGAACATTATTTAATGCAACAACAACATAACATCGTCCTATAACGTGATGAATATTTGAGTGAATGCTCAAATTTAAATTTCTTTATTTTCCAAGGTACGTGCTTTGACTGATAACGAAAAATGTTCATCAATCAGTAGTACAAAATCAAATAGAATATATAACCATTATACGATAAGGCTATTGTTATGTCATTTGTACGTTCTATTTAATTTTTGCTAATGATTTTTTTAATCATATGTGCAGGCCTCAATTTTAGCCTAAAATTAAATGCTACCTCTAATACCATTTATTTAATTAATAAGTTATTTAATTATTTAAATATAGGCCCTATTGTTATCATTGTTAATACCGAAATGAAGAATATAGTCTATAGTTTATAGTTTATAGTCAATAGTGTGTTAAAAATCAGGCATTGTGATCTGAATTGTCGTCGAAATACAGCTTTTGCAAAACGCACGAGTTGATATGAGGTAGCATGCTTTATATCCGACAGGTAAACGTTGTCCATGTTGATTTCATAGTAAATATATAGGCCTACAGGTTATAGGTCTATACTCGGACGGACGGCTGCATCAGTCGTGTTCGAACATCGTATTATGATACAGGCCTACACGTCCGAATTTGCTTATATAGGCCCAGGCCTATGGAGGTTATGTTGGATGGAAAGTTAAGATACTGTGACTCAAAACAGTGGTTTAAGTTTCCGACTTCTGTTTGTGTTTGTGTCATAACCTTTCCGACTGGTTTTACAACACCTGACAACCGTTTAGGCCGCCTGTCCATCATCGACCCATATATTTGTATAGTATTCTGAAAACAATACGTTAGGTTGAAAAAAATCACGTATTGCGCGTGACAATAAATAATTCTGTTTCACAGATGATCAATAACGATTGGGTCAAACGAAGAAGGGCATATATAATTGAGAATTATCAAATACGATAGTATTGACACATGTTTTGTCCTGGACCCTAACTCAAGGCTCTATCTTAAATCGAATAATATTTACCCGAGGTCGCGCGTATTTACTGGATCGCGCGTGTTCACTGGACATAATTGTGTCATATCCGGTGTGAATCATGTAGAAAACATCTTTTTGTAAAACCCCGCTGTTGTTTTACAACTTTTGATTCTATGAAGATTATTTCATTGCACTTATATTTCTATATTGATATCACTTTTCCTTTTGTTATAAAGCAACAAATTCCTGAGGTTTTTGCGAACAATTGATAATTTGTCTAGTGGTTTATTTCAAAAGCGTATTTTATTATATGCGTATACAATACGAATTACATAAGTGCATATTTCAGATACTATCTATAACGCTAAAGCTCCCTATGTCGTTTATTTACCACAATATTGTACATATACAGATATATATATATAGCCGAATAAAGGTAGTATATATACACACACATATATATATATCTCTTATACACATCTAGATGTGTATAAGAGACAGCATATATATAGGGATTATATATAAGTATATATATATGTATGTATATATACATATATATATAGGCCTATAAATCATCAATGAAAGGTAAATACAGTGCTCGATTAAAGAACATAAATATACATCGTGTAGCATAGCTCTGAACGAATGTTGTCCTATAAAATAGGTAAATAATTAAATTGTGTAATAAAATTCCTCTGACAGGACTCAACCCTACGACGTCTCGCTGTCAAGTCGAGCGTCATAGCCATTAGACCACAGAGGCTTCATGGTTGAACCGATTCAAATAACGCCAGATACACTCGTTTACATAATACTAATGATAATAATGATGATAATATCAATAATAATGTTACAGTATTCGCAAAAATAAAAACAAGTTGCTTACCTCAGTGTCCTTTACACTAAGACCAGCCTCAGCTGCGATAATCTCCAACATAATATCGTCAATGTTCTTACTTTGTTTGAAGTTCGATTCTAGTATGTTTTCCTGAGTTGCACTCAGTTTCACTTTCTCCTTCTCTGGGACCAGCTTTGCTTCCACAACCCTGCTTGGGGTTGGTAACGATTCCATTCCAGATTAACGCCCGTTCTACTACGATATTTAAAAAATCAATTTTTTTTTTAAAAATCGTACTTGAGTCGGTCTTGATTTCTTTGAAATAATCCAGAACTAAGAAATCTTGCTGGTGATAGAATGAAATGATAAATATCGCAGCTCAAATCAAACTTTTCCAACCACGGGGCAACCTAGTGTCATATGCTTTTAGTGGTTTTAACAGGATTGATGCAAACCGTATGTCCTTCAATACGTCAATGTCATTAGCGTGTTATAATCGATATTAATAACAGCACGGCCCGGTGTGTTACATACTACGGATAGTACTGAATAACGTATACTCCCACACAACACTCAGATGTACGATTTATCGCTTCAGTAGGACTGGATCGAATCAAGAGAATGCGATTCGCTTCACTGAGCTACTTCAACTAGGCCTACTCTATTAGTTACAACAATTATACTATCATAATATTTATGGGCGGAGTTACATGTTCGCATGAGCAGTCCCTGGCTTATAAAGTCAATAATACAAATACGGTGCCCGGATGGTGCATTAAGACTACGTCCAGGTCTGAATCAGTGAATGGTGGGGGCCAATGCTTAATGTAATTACATTTGTGCAAAACCAAATCTGATAACGTGCGGTATAACCTTTATCAGCATTTTGCATTTCTATAAATAAACTGTTTCGGCAAGAAAACATATGTTGATTACGAGTCACGTTAATAATATATTACGTTATCTCTTATAAAGATGATGAAGGTCACTGACATGAAGTGTTAATTAAATTAATTCAGGACGCCCACTGACCCCCGTGGTGACCTTCACATTACCCCTTCTCTGCCCTTTATCCATCTGTCAGAGGCAGATTTAAGGGGGATGAGGCAGCCGTCACAGGATGAAAAAAAGAGACAATTATATTCAAATTTAAGTGTGAGAGTCCATTTGAGGCCATCTAGAAAATCATACATTTTCTTACCTCAGCCCTAACCTTGGTGGGGCTGAAGTGGTAATAGAACCTCCATCTTTCAAAGTCCCTCCCAAGGCCCCTCTATTTCGAATTCCTGGATCCGCCACTTATGCTGTACGTCGTGGTATTATGTAGGTATAGGGAACAAATGTAAGCAGTTCTTGTGTTGACTTGAGTAATTGTGCCGATGTGCCATATCAAAATAAACGATTCACAACAAAACTTTGCGATCAAGTACGAAATAATCCATGTGTTTTTTTCTAATTTTTTTCTAATTAATATGTATTTACAATATAATATAATACAGGATGATTGTTAAATATAATATATTCTAATCATGAGATGTAATATGCCAACTAGATTTTCTAGTCAATGGCTGCCAATAACTGATATATTTTCAGTGGTTAAATTTATTATTATTATTATTTATAGTTCATTCAATAATATTAATAAACAAAAACAAAACGAAAGGCAATTTTGAGTCTTGTACCATGATATACATACATATATTTGTCACTTAAAATATTCATTTGCATAAGTTAAATTTAAGTGTTTCTAAATTCAAAGTTAAACACATATAAATATATATGAAGTATACATATATATATATTTACATATATATATATATATATATATTGTCATTGCCTTAACAACCATATATATCTGTCTCTTATACCCATCT